TGCTGCTACTATTGCTGCTGCTGCTACCGAGCCTTCGCCGCACTGCCCGAGCCGCGCAGCCCTGCCCTGCCGCGTCGCCCTGCCCGAGCTGCGCTGCCTTGCCCTGCCGAGCCGCGCTGCCCTACCTTAGCCGCACAGCCCCGCCCTGCCCTTTCAAGCCGCGCCGCCCTGCCCTCCCGAGCCGTGCCGCCCTGTCGCCGCTACTGCTGACTGCCATTGCTTGTCATGACCCCTCTTACTGTTTTAGCGGTTGACGTAGACGGCCGCCCTCACAAGTTCGAGATGTGGCTTACGTGCCTGCACATGTATCTCCGGCGTTTCCTTAGAGATGGCGTCTCCCTTCTCGAGCCCACGTCGGGGTCCCTTCCGGTTCCCACACCTCCCACTGCGCCTGCTGCTCACGCTGGCGACGCTGTGCGGAGGCGGTACCGGGTGGACTGCGTTGCCTACACTCAGTGGACGTAGTGCGATGCTGTCGCGGAGCTTGCTGTTCGCGCTCACCTGCCGGTCGACTAGAGGACCCACTTTCGTCAGGTGACATCGGCCAACGTTTTATACGATGATGTGGTTAGGCCTCACTCACTCCTACCACCCGGCCACTGCGGCAGAGCCGTCCTTTGTTAAAGGAGGTACAGCAGTTGGTCGGGGAGGCGAGTGTAGGTACCTGTGCGTCTACTCCTGATGGTGGTGCCGCTGGTGGACGCGGAGATTCTGGGGGTGGACAGCAGCGGCAGCAGTGACCGCCGGAGACCCTCTCGCCGCAGTGGGCTGTCCGGTGGGGCAGCCCCGGTGGTGGAGCCTGGAGTACTAGGGATGCGGTTGTAGAGGCATCTGGTGGTGTAGAGGCTACTAGTCTAGGTGCTTGTGACTCTGCTTGCACATGTGCAGAGCGGAAGGCCTTGCACTCTTTCACTCTAGACTCAGGCGCGTCTCGCTGTTTTTTCCGTGAGTGCACCACTGTCACACCGCTCAAAGTCCCGGTCCCTGTAACTCTGGCCGGCTCTTCTGGTGGCCCAGTCGTTGCACGTGGCTCCATTGTTCTCCCATGTCTGGCAGCCCCTTCCGGTTCCCTTACAGGTCTCCACCTCCCCTCGTTCGCTAAGAACTTGGTGGCTATTGCTGTCCTCCAGGACCAGTGGGTCACTGTCACCCAGCCTGGGCGAGAGCTAGTGGCGATCTGTACGAACTCCCGCACTGGCGAGCACCTTGCTACGTTCACTCGGAGGTCTGGGTCTGGCCTGTACACGCTGACCACTGAGTCTGCACAGATGGCTGAGTTAGGTGATGTAGCTGCGTCCTGTTCGTGTTGGCTGCTCACGCACCCAGCTTTGCTTTGGCACCACCGACTTGGTCACCCCTCCCAGCAGCGTCTCCGTAGCATGCACTCCCGTGTCCTTGTCTCTGGCCTCCCCAGGTCCCTGCCCCTGCTCCCGAGGTCGCTTGCGCCACCGTGCCTTCCCTGCGTCGAGGGGCGGCAGCGCGCCGCTCCTCACTCCTCCAAGTTTCCTCCGACCATAGCTCCTCTGCAGACCCTCCACATGGACGTGTGGGGTCCAGCCCGCGTCACTGGACAAGGCGGAGAGCGCTACTTTTTATTGGTTGTTGACGACTACACGCGCTACACCACGGTCTTCCCCTTGCAGAGCAAGGCGGCTGTTCGTGATGTTCTTATCTGCTGGATCCGTGCTGTCCGTTGCCAGCTCAGCGCTCGGTTCCAGCAGGACCACCCAGTCCTGCGACTACACTCGGGCCGAGGTGGTGAGTTCTCCTCCACCCTCCTCCAAGACTTCTGTGGTGTTGAGGGCTTCACCCAGTCGTTCACGCTTCCGGCCTCTCCACAGGAGAATGAGATCCCAGAGTGCCGCATTGGCCTGGTCATGGAGGTTGCTCGCACCTCCCTTGTCCATGCGGCTGCTCCCCATTTCCTGTGGCCGTTTGCAGTCCGATACGCTGCTGCGCAAATCAACCTCTGGCCCGACGTCTCCCACCCGGAGACCTCCCCCACTCTGCGGTGGACGGGCGAGGTTGCTGATGCGTCGGCGTTTTGGGTCTGGGGTGCCCTTGCACTTGTCCGCGAGTAAGCTCTCTCCTCACACTCTTCGTTGCGTTTTCCTTGGCTTCCCTACCGACACCCCGCCTTGGCAGATTTCCTGTGGCCGTTTGCGGTCCGATGCTGGTGCTAGTCATCAGGAGACTCTCTCGCCTCAGCAGCTTCGCGAGTGGGTTGTCCAGTGGGGCAGCCCCGGTGGCGGAGCTGGAGGCACTGGTGCTGGAGACACTGGAGTTGGAGGTATTGGAGATCCTGGGGCTGGAGGTACTGCTACGGGAGGAACTGGAGTTGCTGGTTCTAGGGGTACTGTTTCTTCTCGAGCTGGAGGTACTAGTGCTGGAGGTACTAGAGTTGCTGGTGCTGGCGGTGCTGGTGCTCGTCGCCAGGAGACTCTCTCGCCTCAGCAGCTTCGTGAGTGGGCTGTCTGGTGGGGCAGCCTCGGTGGCGGAGCTGGAGGTACTAGTGCTAGAGACTCTGGAGTTGGAGGTGCTAGAGGTACTGGAGCTGGAGGTACTGCTACGGGAGGTGTTGGAGTTTCTGGTTCTGGGGGTGATGTTACTCCTGGGGCTGGAGGTACTGAAGTTGCTGGTTCTCGGGGTGCTGTTACTTTTGGAGCTAGAGGTAATGGTGCTGGAGGTACTGGCACTGTAGGTGCTGTACAGCGACGACCGTTTTTCCTGCCGCAACAGCAGGCGTCACTCCCACCACCTAGCTCTATCCTTCACCAGCTACTTGGTCTTTTGTCTTCTACCGGCCTTCCTCTCCCTAACCTGGTCCCAGTGGCTGGTCCTACTCCTCCTCTCCTGGTTCCACCGCCTGACCTGTCTCAGGCGCAGTTGCCTCCTGACTCCCCTCTCCCTGCTCCTGCTCGTTACTCCTCGTCGCCCTCTCCTGACACCTCTCCTGTTCGCACTCGTGCTCCTCGTGCTCGGCGTGTTCGTCCTCCGCCAGTCCCTGGCACACACACTATGGCACTTCGTCCTTCCTCTGTTCCACAGTGTGTTGCCCTGTTGTTACCTCCTGCGTCCTCTCTTCCTGACATACCTGACCCTGAGTCAGACCTTGTTCGTGCTGCCAGTCCGACTATCACTCGTTTTCTAGGTACAGTTGTGACAGACCCTACCCTCTCCTCTCCTGCTGCATCTACCTTCTTTGCTGAGCTAGTCGACTTTGCTGCTGCGTACTGCCTTAATTACGTCACAAGTCTTGTTTCTGACTCACAATCTACCTGTCCTCCGTCCATCGAGGGTGCCTCTGCCCTTGGCTGTGACGTCCTAAAAGACAGCCAAGAGGACCTTGATTTTCTTGCGGTCGATGTACCTCATCTCGCTCCCATGCTGCTTGCCTCTGAGGGAGACCCGGATGCACTGGACATCTCGACCCCACGCACTTACGCTGAGGCGATCTTGGGTCCCTACTCTTCTCAGTGGCAGACAGCCATGGACGCAGAGATGGCTTCATGGAAGTCTACAGACACCTACGTCGACGAGATTCCCTCTTCTGGGCGAACATAATCGATGACATGTGGATTTACAGAGTGAAGCGGCTGCCGGGTTCTCCACTTGCTTTCAAGGCGCGCTCGTTGCACGAGGCTTCAGTCAGCGCCAGGGGGTTGACTTCTTACATACCTTCTCCCCCACCCCGAAGATGACCACTTTTCGGGTGTTAAGAACGATCTGCACTCTCTCGACTTCTCGATGGCCTTCTTGCAAGGCAGCCTTCACGAGGAGATTTGGCCACGCCGCCCACCTGGCTTCATTGGGTCGTTCCCTGAGGATACCCAGTGGAGCCTCCGACGGCCACTCTACGGTCTCCGCGAGTGGCGCGACACACTGAAGACGATGCTTGCGGCTCTTGGGTTTGCTCCCTTGACTGCTGACCCGTCGCTGTTTTGCGCACTGACCCTTCTCTGCCGCCGCTCTACATTCTTGTGTATGTCGATAACTTGGTCTTTGGGACTGCTGGCACTGAGGCACTGGCCTCTGTGAAGGCGGAGCTGCAGACACGACACACATGTACTGACCTGGGTGCGCTACGCAGCTATCTTGGCTTGTAGATCACCTTGGACAGAGCTCGGCGCACCATCACTCTGACTCAGTCATACATGGTGCACTAGCTCCTTCAGCTCTTCGGCTCCCAGTTGTCCTCGCCACAGCCCACTCCTCTGCATGCAAACTACTCGCTCACAGAATCACCTTCGGACGAATCCGTAGAGCCGAATGGTTCGTACCCGGAGCTTGTGGGCTGTCACATGTACCTGATGACTTGCACTCGACCTGACCACGCGTTTCCTCTTAGCATCCTGGAGCGCTACGTTGCGCTCGGGAGACATTGCCCTGAGCACCGACGGGCTGCACAGAGGGAACTGTTTTACTTGTGCTGTACATCATGCATGGGACTTGTGCTTGGAGGATGAGACCGCGTTGTTCTCACGGGTCACTTCTTGGGTCGACGATCAGGCAACGCAGCGGTTGTCACAGTGTTTCAGTTTCAGCCTTGGCACAGGTTTTGTGTCCTGGATGTTTCATGTTGATGTTGTTGTCATTGTAAGGCTTGTTGTAATATATATCTATATGAATTAGCTTTGTGGCCACTTGGTTGTGCTCTAGGGTACATTCCCTTGTAGGGTTTTGCTTGTATTGACTTGTTCATACTCTTTCACCATTACTGTTTCCTTATTTCTACACCAGTGATTCTATGGTAATCAAAATATCCAACTTCCAACCCACCCTAGCTACTGCAAAACCCTGGCAAGTCTGCCAGCATAATCCCAGTCACAATCCCAATAGCCCCTCACAATGTAACAGCCAACTTCTACAGAGGCACACTGGTGGGGGTGCTGACACGTCTTCACAGAATCCTCAGTATTACTCGTATCATTCTATATTTTCACTGCGTTTCGATAATCACTAACTTGTCTCTCCTGTTGTTCCATGTTTAATGCACTGCTCTACACGAAGAGCAGTGAGGTGAGAACAACACCAATGGCAGCAGCCACGGCACTGACCGGTGGAGCGAGAGAACCTGACAAGGGGAGAGCGGGTGGAGTGAAGAGTCACATCAGAGCAATAGCAAAGCATTTGTGGAAGTAAGTGAGGGTGAAGGGCATGTGATTGTCTGGGAAGAAAGGGGGAGGGTTGGGGGGAGGGAGGGAAGGGGAGCGGGAACAAGGAAACGAGGGGAAGCAGGGGTACGAGGGGTAACATGCTGAGATCACAGTTGCAAAAAACAAAACCAGTAGTTGCGACCTACCCAAAGCAGAAAACATACCAGCAGGCTTAGGTGGTGGCGGTGAGGCAGAAGGGAAGAACCACCGCGGAACAGGGAGGCTGTCGGGAATGGAGCCCGTGAGACTGGTGTTCCGAATATCCCTGTGTGGGGTTGAGTGAGTTGCGCATGATGAGAAGAGAGGGCATGGCAGGAAGAAAAGAAAGAACACTCACGTGTGACTTCATGACAGTCATACATCTAGTACCTTGCGCATGCCTTGCAATGTGCTATGCTATAAACCAGAGTGCACAGTAGCAGTGCATGGAGCACATGATGAAGGTGCATGGGGAGTCTCCCAATGAATGCCACACACACCTAATCCCCAACCGGCTTCAACTCCATTCCACTTGATCACCAGCACAGCACACCACCTCAACGAAACATGTGACTCGAGCCTGTCCACAGAGGGTGGCTGGAACTGTGAAGGCATAATCAGTTCGGAAGGGCTAGGGCAAGGCTACTGTAGCAGACTGCGATTTTCTAGGTTGACATTGTGTAGTGGCAGTCGCAAACTCTTCCCAAGCAGCAAAAGCATGAAATTATTGAAGCACAACAGCAGGGAGGAACACGGAGTGGCAAAGAGATGCAGCCAAAAGAAGGGGTGAGGAGTGGGCATGCAGAGTGCATGGGCAGTGGAGGAGTGCCAGAAGTGATGCGCACATGGCATGCAGCACCCAGTGGGCAAAACAGCACGCAGATGGAGCAAACCCAGTGTGCCTCTTACAGCCATGTCAGTTCTTTCAGAGCAGAGATACTGTCAGGAATGGAGCCCATGAGACTGTTGCTGCTAAGATCCCTGTGTGGGGTTGAGTGAGTTGCGCATGATGAGAAGAGAGGGCATGGCAGGAGGAAAACAAAGAAACACTCACGTGTGACTTCATGATACTCGTACATCTAGTATCTTGCGCATGCCTTGCAATGTGCTATGCTAAGAACCAGAGTGCACAGTAACAGTCCATGAAGCACACGATGATTGTGAATGGGGAGTCTCCCAATGAATGCCACAGACATCTAATCCCCAACCAGCTTCAACTCCATTCCACTTGATCACCAGCACAGCACACCACCTCAACCAAACATGTGACTCGAGCCTGTCCACAGAGGGTGGCTGGAACTGTGAAGGCATAATCAGTTCGGAAGGGCTAGGGCAAGGCTACTGTAGCAGACTGCGATTTTCTAGGTTGACATTGTGTAGTGGCAGTCGCAAACTCTTCCCAAGCAGCAAAAGCATGAAATTATTGAAGCACAACAGCAGGGAGGAACACGGAGTGGCAAAGGGATGCAGACAAAAGAAGGGGTGAGGAGTGGGCATGCAGAGTGCATGGGCAGTGGAGGAGTGCCAGAAGTGATGCGCACATGGCATGCAGCACCCAGTGGGCAAAACAGCACGCAGATGGAGCAAACCCAGTGTGCCTCTTACAGCCATGTCAGTTCTTTCAGAGCAGAGATACTGTCAGGAATGGAGCCCATGAGACTGTTGCTGCTAAGATCCCTGTGTGGGGTTGAGTGAGTTGCGCGTGATGAGAAGAGAGGGCATGGCAGGAGGAAAAGAAAATACGCTCACGTGTGACTTCATGACAGTCGTACATCTAGTACTTTGCGCATGCCTTGCAATGTGCTATGCGAAAAACCAGAGTGCACAGTAGCAGTGCATGGAGCACACGATGAAGGTGAATGGGGAGTCTCCCAATGAATGCCACAGACATCAAATCCCCAACCGGCTTCAACTCCATTCCACTTGATCACTAGCACAGCACACCACCTCAACCAAACATGTGACTCGGGCCTGTCCACAGAGGGTGGCTAGAATTGTGAAGGCATAATCAATTCGGAAGGGCTAGGGACAGGCTACTGTAGCGGGATGCAATTTTCAAGGTTTACCTTGTGTAGTGGTTGTCGCAAACTCTTCCGAAGCAGCAAAATCATGAAATCTTTGAAGCACAGCAGCAAGGAGAGACACGGAGTGGCAAAGGGATGCAGACGGCAGGGGGGGGGGAGTGGGCATGCAGTGTGCATGGGCAGTGGAGGAGTGCCAGCAGTGATGCGCACATGGCATGCAGCACCCAGTGACCAGAGCAGCACGCACGTGGTGCAAACCTAGTGTGCCTCTTACAACAATTTGAGTGCCCTGAGCGCAGAGATGCTGTCGGGAATGGAGCCCGTGAGATCGTTGTTGCCAAGACCCCTGTGTGGGGTGAGTGAGATGCGCGTGGTAAGACGAGAGGCTCAAATGCTTGTCTACAGAGGGTGGCGGGAACTTGGAAGGCATGATAGATTCAAAAGGGCTAGAGCCAGGCAATTGTCGAGGTTTGTGATTGTGAAGGTAGAGATTGTGTAGTGGCATCTATGACTTCTACTAAGCAAGGAACACGTGAACTCAATGAAGAGAGACCACAAGGTTGGTGCAGCAGAGATAGAGGAGTGGCAACGCGATGCCGACAGAAGAAGGGGGTAGGAGTGGGCATGCAGAGTGCATGGGCAGTGGAGGAGTGATGGCAGTGATGCACACATGGCATGCAGCACCCAGTGGGCAGAGCAGCACGCAGGTGGAGCAAGCCCAGTGTGTCTCTTACAGGTTTCGGAGTGCTGTGAGCGCAGAGATGCTGTCGGGAATGGAGCCAATGATATTGTTGTTCGTAAGACTCCTGTGTGGGGGTGAGTGAGTTGCGCGTGGTAGGACGAGAAGATCAAATACTTGTCTAAAGAGCGTGGCGGGAACCTAGAAGGCAAGATAGATTCAGAAGGGCTAGAGCCAGGCAATTGTCGAGGTTTGTGATTGTGAAGGTAGAGATTGTGGAGTGGCAACTGTGAGCTCTACTAAGCAAGGCACACGTGTACACAATGAAGCGAGACCACAAGGTTTGTGCAGACAGAAGAGGGGGGGAGGAGTGGGCATGCAAAGTGCATGGGCAATGGAGGAGTGCCAGCAGAGATGCGCACATGGCATGCAGCACCCAGTGGGCAGAGCGGCATGCAGGTGGAGCAAACCCAGTGTGCCTCTTACAGCTGTGTGAGTGCCGTGAGCGCAAAGATGCTGTCGGGAATAGAGCCCGTGAGATTGTTGCCGCCAAGATTCCTGTGTAGGGTGAGTAAGTTGCGGGTGGTAAGACGAGAGGCTCAAATGCTTGTCCACAGAGGGTGGCGGGAACCTGGAAGGCATGATAGATTCATAAGGGCTAGAGCCAGGCAATTGTAGAGGTTTGTGATTGTGAAGGTGGAGATTGTGTAGTGGCAACTGTGAGTTCTACTAAGCAAGGCACACGTGAACACAATGAAGCGAGACCACAACGTTTGTGCAGACAGAAGGAGGGAGGAGTGGGCATGCAGAGTGCATGGGCAGTGGAGGAGTGCCTGCTGTGATACACACATGCATGCAGCACCTAGTGGGCAGAGCAGCACGCAGGTGGAGCAAGCCCAGTATGCCTCTTACAAGTTTCCGAGTGCTGTGAGCGTAGAGATGCTGTCAGGAATGGAGCCCGTGAGACTGTTGTTCTGAAGACCCCTGTGTGGGGTGAGTGAGTTGCGCGTGGTAAGACCAGAGGCTCAAACGCTTGTCTACAGAGGGTGGCAGGAACCTGGAAGGCATGATAGATTCAGAAGGGCTAGAGCCAGGCGATTGTCGAAGTTTGTGATTGTGAAGGTAGAGATTGTGTAGTGGCAACTGTGAGTTCTACTAAGCAAGGCACACGTGAACACAATGAAGCGAGACCACAAGGTTTGTGCGGACAGAAGAAGGGGGGAGGAGTGGGCATGCAGAGTGCATGGGCAATGGAGGAGTGCCAGCAGTGATGCGCACATGGCATGCAGCACCCAGTGGGCAGAGCAGCACGCAGGTGGAGCAAGCCCAGTATGTCTCTTACAGGTTATGGAGTGCTGTGAGCGCAGAGATGCTGTCGGGAGTGGAGCCCGTGAGACTGTTGTTCGTAAGACCCCTGTGTTGGGTGAGTGAGTTGCGCGTGGTAAGACGAGAGGCTTGAATGTTTGTCTACAGAGGGTGGCGGGAACCTGGAAGGCATGATAGATTCAAAAGGGCTAGAGCCAGGCAATTGTCGAGGTTTGTGATTGTGAAGGAAGAGATTATGTAGTGGCATCTGTGACTTCTACTAAGCAAGGCACACGTGAACACAATGAAGCGAGACCACAAGGTTTGTGCGGACAGAAGAAGGGGGGAGGAGTGGGCATGCAGAGTGCATGGGCAATGGAGGAGTGCCAGCATTGATGCGCACATGGCATGCAGCACCCAGTGGGCAGAGCAGCACGCAGGTGGAGCAAGCCCAGTATGTCTCTTACAGGTTTTGGAGTGCTGTGAGCGCAGAGATGCTGTCGGGAATGGAGCCCGCGAGATTGTTGCTGCCAAGATACCTGTGTGGGGTGAGTGAGTTGCGCGTGGTAAGACGAGAGGCTCAAATGCTTGTCTACAGAGGGTGGCTGGAACCTGAAAGGCATGATAGATTCAAAAGGGCTAGAGCCAGGCAATTGTCGAGGTTTGTGATTGTGAAGGAAGAGATTATGTAGTGGCATCTGTGACTTCTACTAAGCAAGGCACACGTGAACACAATGAAGCGAGACCACAAGGTTTGTGCGGACAGAAGAAGGGGGGAGGAGTGGGCATGCAGAGTGCATGGGCAATGGAGGAGTGCCAGCATTGATGCGCACATGGCATGCAGCACCCAGTGGGCAGAGCAGCACGCAGGTGGAGCAAGCCCAGTATGTCTCTTACAGGTTTTGGAGTGCTGTGAGCGCAGAGATGCTGTCGGGAATGGAGCCCGTGAGATTGTTGTCGCCAAGACCCCTGTGTAGTGTTGAGTGAGTTGCGCGTGGTAAGACGAGAGGCTCGAATGCTTGTCTACAGAGGGTGGCGGGAACCTGGAAGGCATGACAGATTCAAAAGGGCTAGAGCCAGGCAATTGTAGAGGTTTGTGATTGTGAAGGTAGAGATTGTGTAGTGGCAACTGTGAGTTCTACTAAACAAGGCACACATGAACACAATGAAGCGAGACCACAAGGTTTGTGCAGACAGAAGAGGGGGGGAGGAGTGGGCATGCAGAGTGCATGGGCAATGGAGGAGTGCCAGCAGTGATGCGCACATGGCATGCAGCACCCAGTCTATGTTACACCTGACGCCCTGGAAAGGCAGCGTCCGGACGCTGGACGCGTCAAATCGGTTTATCGCTGTACGTTCGGGGAAAAAAAATTCAGACAGCCCGAAAAAAATAATTATGCTGCGAAATCGATTCGCGATTTCATCGCGACCAGAATTGACGATGAAATTGCCAACTGGGGGGCGCGTTTGTTACCTGAAACACGCGACCCTCATTTATTCACCCCCACACATTTGTACCCATCCACATCTACTTCTCCCAATGTGGTCGACACCCAACTAAACTAGAGAACCAGATCTAGGTCAGGAGTATTTAACTTGTGTGTGAGATTAGGAGATTTTCAGGAATTTCTGGATTTTATGGAGTATTTATAACTATAGGTGACAAATGTGAACTTCTTGCATTCTAACCCTTGGGTATCCTTACTAGGCAGGTTTTTTTACCCCTGCCCGGAAAACTTTTTTGCCCTGCCTGGACTAGCGTCAAGCGGGTGTCCAGGGCAAAGGGCACTGGGCGTCAAGCGTCTGGACGCCCCGTCCAGACGCCAGCGTAAAAAACGCCTGACGCGTCAGGCGCAACATAGCACCCACTGACCAGAGCAGCACGCAGGTGGTGCAAACCCAGTGTGCCTCTTACAGCCATATCAGTTCCTTCAGCACAGAGATACTGTCGGGAATGGAGCCCGTGAGATTGTTGTTCGTAAGACCCCTGTGTGGGGTGAGTGAGTTGCGCGTGGTAAGACGAGAGGATCAAATACTTGTCACCAGAGCGAGGTGGGAACCTAGAAGGCAAGATAGATTCATAAGGGCTAGAGCCAGGCAATTGTAGAGGTTTGTGATTGTGAAGGTAGAGATTGTGTAGTAGCAACTATGAGTTCTACTAAGCAAGGCACAAATGAACACAATGAAGTGAGACCACAAGGTTTGTGCAGACAGAAGAGGGGGGGAGGAGTGGGCATGCAGAGTGCATAGGCAATGGAGGAGTGCCAGCAGTGATGCGCACATGGCATGCAGCACCCAGTGGGCAGAGCGGCATGCAGGTGGAGCAAACCCAGTGTGCCTCTTACAGCTGTGTGAGTGCTGTGAGCGCAGAGATGCTGTCGGGAACGGAGCCCGCGAGATTGTTGCTCTCAAAATACCTGTGTGGGGTGAGTGAGTTGCGCGTGGTAAGACGAGAGGCTCAAATGCTTGTCTACAGAGGGTGGCGGGAACCTGAAAGGCATGATAGATTCAGAAGGGCTAGAGCCAGGCAATTGTTGAGGTTTGTGATTGTGAAGGTAGAGATTGTGTAGTGGCAACTGTGAGTTCTACTAAGCAAGGCACACGTGAACACAATGAAGCGAGACCACAAGGTTTGTGAAGACAGAAGAGGGGGGGAGGAGTGGGCATGCAGAGTGCATGGGCAATGGAGGAGTGCCAGCAGTGATGCCCACATGGCATGCAGCACTCACTGGGCAGAGCAGCATGCAGGTGGAGCAAACCCAGTTTGCCTCTTACAGCCATATCAGTTCCTTCAGCACAGAGATACTGTCGGGAATGGAGCCCGTGAGATCGTTGTTGCGAAGACCCCTGTGTGGGGTGAGTGAGTTGCGCGTGGTAAGCCGAGAGGCTCAAACGCTTGTCTACAGAGGGTGGTAAGAACCTAGAAGGCATGATAGATTCAAAAGGGCTAGAGCCAGGTAATTGTCGAGGTTTGTGATTGTGAAGGTAGAGATTGTGTAGTGGCAACTGTGAGTTTTACTAAGCAAGGCACACTTGAACTCAGTGAAGAGAGACCACAAGGTTGGTGCAGCAGAGATAGAGGAGTGGCAACGCGATGCAGACAGAAGAAGGGGGGAGGAGTGGGCATGCAGAGTGCATGGGCAGTGGAGGATTGCCAGAAATGATGCGCACATGGCATGCAGCACCCAGTGGGCACAGCAGCACGCAGATGGAGCAAACCCAGTGTGCCTCTTACAGCCCTCTGAGTTCCTTCAGCGCAGAGATACTGTAAGGAATGGAGCCCGTGAGACTGTTGCTGCTAAGATCCCTATGTGGGGTGGAGTGAGGTGCGCGTGATGAGAAGAGAGGGCATGGCAGGAGGAAAACAAAGAAACACTCACGTGTGACTTCATGACACTCGTACATCTAGTACCTTGCGCATGCCTTGCAATGTGCTATGTTAAAAACCAGAGTGCACAGTAGCAGTGCATGGAGCACACGATGAAGGTGAATGGGGAGTCTCCCAATGAATGCCACAGACATCTAATCCCCAACCAGCTTCAACTCCATTCCACTATATCACCGGCACAGCACACCACCTCAACCAAACATGTGACTCGGGCCTGTCCACAGAGGGTGGCTGGAACTGTGAAGGCATAATCAGATTGGAAGGGGTAGGGACAGGCTACTGGGGCGAACTGCAACTTTCTAGGTTGACATTGTGTAGTGGCAGTCGCGAACTCTTCCGAAGCAGCAAAATCATGAAATTATTGAAGCACAGAAGGGAGGGACACGGAGTGGCAACGCGATGCAGACACAAGAAGGGGGGAGGAGTGGGCATGCGGTGTGCATGAGCACTGGAAGAGTGCTGGCAGTGATGCGCACATGGCATGCAGCACCCAGTGGGCAGAGCAGCACGCAGGTGGTGCGAGCCCAGTGTGCCTCTTACAGCGATGTGAGTTCCTTCAGCGCAGAGATACTGTCAGGAATGGAGCCCATGAGACTGTTAACGCCAAGATTCCTGTGTGGGGTGAGTGAGTTGCGCGTGGTAAGACGAAAGGCTCGAATGCTTGTCTACAGAGCGTGGCGGGAACCTGGAAGGCATGATATATTCAAAAGGGCTAGAGCCAAGCAATTGTCGAGGTTTGTGATTGTGAAGGTAGAGATTGTGTAGTGGCAACTGTGAGTTGTTCTAAGCAAGGCACACGTGAACATAATGAAGCAAGACCACAAGGTTTGTGCAGACAGAAGAGGGGGGGAGGAGTGGGCATGCAAAGTGCATGGGCAATGGAGGAGTGCCAGCAGTGATGCGCACATGGCATGCAGCACCCAGTGGGCAGAGCGGCACGCAGGTGGAGCAAACCCAATTTGCCTCTTACAGGCTTTCGAGTGCCGTGAGCGCAAAGATGCTGTCGGGAATGAAGCCCGTGAGATTGTTGCCGCCAAGATTCCTGTGTGGTGTTGAATAAGCCTGTAAAAGAATATTCAGTATTCGAGAATTATTCAATATTCGTTCGAGTACCTCAATTCGAGAGAATAGGAAACGACCATGTATTCGAAAATATTCCCATCACAAGTATTCGTGAATGTAGAATATTCGGATAATGAATATTCGAGGTATTCGTTACTATTCGGTATTTTCATTAACCCCCCCTCGTACTTTCCCTACATGAGGCTATATATTTTGCAGTCTGTGCACCAGAGGTCGTGTGAGAGCTGTGCAAGAAGTTAGCTGGAGAAGGTCGTGGTGTTGGTAGTATAAGGTACATTGTGTCACCCTGTGTCGACACTGCCTCTACAAGGATTTCTGTATTCGACTCGGTTTCGGCAGTATTCGAATCGTATTCGTATTCGATTTTGGGTCAGGATTCATATCGTATTCGAAATCGAGTTTGGGCCGGTATTTGGTCAAATAAGAAACAACGCATTATTCGGAGAACAGGGTGAAAAAATATTCGTATTCGTATTCGTATTCGGTTTTACAGGCTTAGTGTTGAGTGGGTTGCGCATGGTAAGACGAGAGGCTCAAACGCTTGTCTACAGAGGGTGGCGGGAACTTGGAAGGCATGATAGATTCAAAAGGGCTAGAGCCAGGCAATTGTCGAGGTTTGTGATTATGAAGGTAGAGATTGTGTAGTAGCATCTATGACTTCTACTAAGCAAGGCACACGTGAGCACAATGAAGCAAGACCACAAGGTTTGTGAAGACAGAAGAGGGGGGGAGGAGTGGGCATGCAGAGTGCATGGGCAATGGAGGAGTGCCAGCAGTGATGCCCACATGGCATGCAGCACTCACTGGGCAGAGCAGCATGCAGGTGGAGCAAACCCAGTTTGCCTCTTACAGCCATATCAGTTCCTTCAGCACAGAGATACTGTCGGGAATGGAGCCCGTGAGTTCGTTGTTGCTAAGACCCCTGTGTGGGGTGAGTGAGTTGCGCGTGGTAAGCCGAGAGGCTCAAATGCTTGTCTACAGAGGGAGGCGGGAACCTGGAAGACATGATAGATTCAGAAAGGCTAGAGCCAGGCAATTGTCGAGGTTTGTGATTGTGAAGGTAGAGATTGTGTAGTAGCATCTGTGAATTCTACTAAGCAAGGCACACGTGAACTCAATAAAGAGAGACCACAAGGTTGGTGCAGCAGAGATAGAGGAGTGGCAACGCGATGCAGACAGAAGAAGGGGGGAGGAGTGGGCATGCAGAGTGCATGGGCAGTGGAGAATTGCCAGAAGTGATGCGCACATGGCATGCAGCACCCAGTGGGCAAAGCCGCACGCAGATGGAGCAAACCCAGTGTGCCTCTTACAGCCATGTCAGTTCCTTCAGCGCAGAGATACTGTAAGGAATGGAGCCCGTGAGTCTGATGCTGCTAAGATCCCTGTGTGGGGTTGAGTGAGTTGCGCGTGATGAGAAGAGAGGGCATGGCAGGAGGAAAACAAAGAAACGCTCACGTGTGACTTCATGACACTCGTACTTTTAGTACCTTGCGCATGCCTTGCAATGTGCTATGCTAAAAACCAGAGCGCACAGTAGCAGTGCATGAAGCACACGATGAAGGTGAATGGGGAGTCTCCCAATGAATGCCACAGACATCTAATCCCCAACCGGCTTCAACTCCATTCCACTTGATCACCTGCACAGAAAACACCTCAACGAAACATGTGACTCGAGCCTGTCCACAGAGGGTGGCTGGAACTGTGAAGGTATAATCAGTTCGGAAGGGCTAGGGACAGGCTACTGTAGCGGACTGCAATTTTCGAGGTTGACATTGTGTAGTGGCAGTCGAAAACTCGGGCCTGTCCACAGAGGGTGGGCATGCGGTGTGCATGGGCAGTGGAGGAGTGCCGCCAGTGATTCGCACATGGCATGCAGCACCCAGTGGGCGGAGCGGCACGCAGGTGGTGCAAACCCAGTGTGCCTCTTACAGCGATGTGAGTTCCTTCAGCGCAGAGATACTGTCAGGAATGGAGCCCGTGCGACTGTTGCCGACAAGATGCCTGTGTGGGGTGAGTGAGTTGCGCGTGGTAAGACGAGAGGCTCGAATGCTTGTCTACATAGGGTGGCGGGAACCTGGAAGGCATGATAGATTCAGAAGGGCTAGAGCCAGGCAATTGTAGAGGTTTGTGATTGTGAAGGTAGAGATTGTGTAGTGGCAACTGTGAGTTCTACCAAGCAAGGCACACGTGAACACAATGAAGCGAGACCACAAGGTTGGTGCAGCAGAGACGATCGAGCAGTGGCAACGCGATGCAGACAGAAGTAAGGGGGGGGAGTGGGCATGCAGAGTGCATGGGCAGTGGAGGAGTGCCGACAGTGATGACTGGCGTGGGGAATAAATAGCATCAGGGGAGGAACCTGGAGCAATGGAAGCAGCTGTAATGGGAGAAGTAGATCACGGAGGGAGAGAGAGGTGGGAGAGGTCGGGTTCGGAGCTGAGGGAAGCATCTGCGGCAGGCAGCAGATCGTGTGTGTGTCATGGAAGACGCACCTTTCCATCCAAGATATTAACGCGTGCACTCACATCGAGGTGATCATGCCTGAAGCGTCGCACCGGATAGATGCCACTGTGCTGCATTTGTCTCCCACCTTCCACCCTATGCCCCATCCCGTCTTGACGTCGCTGAGAAACAACCCTGACGTGTTGGGGCGAGGAGAGGGCATAAGAAAAGTCGCGGAAGGAAATGAGTGACATGAGCACTCATGAGTAGCATGAGTGCATAAGCTCCGAGGCATGCGTCGGAAGGAGAGGGGGAGAGGGGAAGGGGAAGGAGGCAGTGGGGAAGGGGGGGAAGAGGGAGGGAGGGTGTGGGGGAGGGAGGGAGGGTGTGGGGGAGGGAGGGATGGATGGGGGAGGGAGGGAGGGAGGGAGTGGGGGAGGGAGGGAGGGAGGGAGTGGGGGAGGGAGGGAGGGAGGGAGTGGGGGAGGGAGGGAGGGAGGGAGTGGGGGAGGGAGGGAGGGAGGGAGTGGGGGAGGGAGGGAGGGAGGGAGTGGGGGAGGGAGGGAGGGAGGGAGTGGGGGAGGGAGGGAGGGAGGGAGTGGGGGAGGGAGGGAGGGAGGGAGTGGGGGAGGGAGGGAGGGAGGGAGTGGGGGAGGGAGGGAGGGAGGGAGTGGGGGAGGGAGGGAGGGAGGGAGTGGGGGAGGGAGGGAGGGAGGGAGTGGGGGAGGGAGGGAGGGAGGGAGTGGGGAAGGGAGGGAGGGAGGGAGTGGGGGAGGGAGGGAGGGAGGGAGTGGGGGAGGGAGGGAGGGAGGGAGTGGGGGAGGGAGGGAGGGAGGGAGTGGGGGAGGGAGGAGGGAGGGAGTGGGGGAGGGAGGAGGGAGGGAGTGGGGGAATGAGAAGGGAGGGAGGGAGTAGGGGAGGGAGAAGGGAGGGAGGGAGTAGGGGAGGGAGGGGGGGGGCAGGAGGGAGTGGGAGAGGTAGGGAGTGTGGGAGGGAGGGAGGAGGGAGGGAGGGAGGGAGTGGGGGAGGGAGGGTGGACGGGAGGGAGGGAGTGGGGGAAGGAGGGGGTGGGAGGGAGGAAGTGGAGGAGGGAGAGAGGAGGGACGGAGGGAGTGCGAGAGGGAGGGAGGAGGGTTGGAGGGAATTTGGGAGGGAGGGAGCCACCTGAGTACTCCCTTAGGAGGGGAGGAATGGAGGGAGAGGTAACACTACTTCTACTGCCGCCCTAGTCGGGTATCACTGAGCCAATAGTACTGTCACAGGGTGGAGGAGGGTGGGTGGGACGGTGAGCGGTACTAGTATTACTACCTTGAGACGCATTGATCACTTGCGCGTGGCACGACGAGACGTTGAAGGCGACAAGCCAGAGCGCCATGGCGAGCGCTGGGGAGAGCGCGGCGGGGAGCGCCACCTTCAAGGCAGAAAGCTGGTGGCATCGCTGGTGCTTCATCGCAGGCAGCCGGGGGAAATAGCGGCTTGGCGCCGGACGCCTTGAGAACCCTTGACTCGTCAATCTCTTAAAACCTCGAGCAGGCGGCTACTAGTAGTACTAGTAAGGTGTGACAATGGATCTGAGACACAGGGGGAGAGACACACGTGTGAATGCAAGCATTCACAGCCCGACCTGCTGCTGGGAAGAAGGTGTGACAACGGATCTGAGACACAGGGGGAGAGAAACACGTGTGAATGCAAGCATTCACAGCCCGACCTGCTGCTGGGAAGAAGGTGAGACAACGGATCTGAGACACAGGGGGAGAGAAACACGTGTGAATGCAAGCATTCACAGCCCGACCTGCTGCTGGGAAGAAGGTGAGACAACGGATCTGAGACACAGGGGGAGAGACACACGTGTGAATGCAAGCATTCACAGCCCGACCTGCTGCTGGGAAGAAGGTGAGACAACAGATCTGAGACACAGGGGGAGAGAAACAGGTGAGAGCGCGCTGGATCAGGGCGTTCATTCGCCATGCTCTCACGCCTTAGCGCCAAGCGTGAGAGCGCGCAGGATCAGGGCGTTCATTCGCCATGCTCTCACGCCTTGGCGCCAAGCGTGAGAGCGCGCTGGATCAGGGCGTTCATTCGCCATG